GTGAGGTGAAGTGGTCGAGCACAGGTGCAGCGACAAGCGGGTGCGTTCCTGTGAAACTGTTGCAGTCATGCTCGCCTCACGCACGCGCCCGCGCGGTGCCGAAGTTGAATTGTCTAACTTTTTTGTACACGACGCGCAGCACAAATCATTGGAAGAGAGACTGATCCTCGGCTCGCTGTTTGTGAGTTTCCAGAATCGAAATAGTTATCAGGACATCAACAGGAGGGAATTCACATGGCAGAGCATCCCCGCTAAACTAAACGCAGGCCTATCAGGTAAAGTTATCTATAATTTTAATTAAAGTTAAAAAGGCTACAGCTGCGTAGCGCACAGAAGCCGGTGCCATGGTTACTATCCATAGAGCGCCTGTCATTCACTCGCGGAGCGCTGTCTCCCTTTCTGTTCACCTGAGAGAACCTGCCAAAGCCTCTCCACTGCTTGTTTGGGTGGGTAATTTGCTGGCTGACCAACATCCCACCCCTCCTGTGATCATGGGTTGACTGTAGGCCTATGTGTATTCAGAGGCAGTGAGCAACGGACTTTCAAAATAAAAAATAAAAAAACCTCTGCGTTAACGCGCGATAAAAAAATTGTCGGCATTAATTAATAAATGCGTTAACGCGATAATAACGCGTTAACTTGCCCAGCACTAATATATATATATATATATATATGCACACAGTATATATATAAACATATACACATATACAGTGTACGTTATCAGATTACTTTTTACAAGCAACTACACAGCAAAATCCCCAGTGTAAAATGAACACTCCTGGGGCCTCATGTACAAAGACTTGCGTTGAATTCATACTAAAGCATTGCGTACGGACAAAGCTGTAAATGTGCGTACGCACAAAAAAAAGCAGATGTATGAATCTCTGCGTACGAAGGATTCCACGCATATTCTCTTTGTACATCCCAATTAACGTAAAATTGAGCGCACATGCACGAGCACAACGCCCCACCCAGTCTCCTCCCCCAATTAAATTAATTTAAATATGGTAATTAGTCCAATTTGGCAAAAGAAACCTGCAAGAACATGGCTCAAGCAAGAAATGAAATTTCACTGAAAATGTATTCTGTGTGAAAGTGTAATTTATTCCTGTGATCAAAGCTGAATTTTCAGCATCATTTCTCCAGTCTTCAGTGTCACATGATCCTTCAGAAATCATTCTAAAATGATGATTTGATCAAGAAACATTTTTGAGTATTATCAGTGTTGAAAACAGGTGTGCTTCTGCTTCATATTTTCGTGGAAACCGTGATATAGTATTTTCAGGATTCTTTAATGAATAAAAACTTAAATCAAACAGATATAGAAATCTTATAATCTTTTGTAACATTATAAATGCATTTACTCTCACTTTTAAACAAATTCAATGTGTCCTTGCTGAACAAAAATATTACTTTCTTTTTTATCTTTACTGACCGAATTAATGAAGTTTATTTTTTATTCCTAGTTAAGCCAACACTGCCATTGCTAGACGGTTTGTATCAATTTGCACATGCTTTATATATGTTCTTACTTAATTGCATAATAGAATATTTTAATAAGACTCGTGTGACAATAATATGTCAAATAATTTATCAATTACAAATTATAAGCAATATCTGACAGCTGGTGGTGCGATAGAACAATTTGTAGTGTAATGTTTGCCACTTCACTTTATTGCCTCTATGAGTCGCCAACGGACAAAAATCACGACAAATATACGTACGCCAGACATGAAGTTTACTTGGAGGAACGCACATTCTTAAGTTAATTTCACTGTTAGTACATCTGGCCGTGAACGTGTAAGCTGACGTACGCCGTGTTTTTGTGCGTACGCAGTGTTGATACATGAGGCCCCTGGTGTACATATAGGTCCAACTACAGGGTGTTAAAAATGAACACTAAATCAGTGTTGAAGAGATAATTAAGTGATTAATTAAGTGATGATTGGCCATTAGTGGTGACACCTGATGTTAATAAGAATCACTGAAGGAAAGAGAAACCGCAAGAACAGGAAAAAAAGAGAAACACAAGAACTACTGACTTTGAGCCATTACACATTATTGCACTAGAAATGTTTTATGGAATTTTTCGTTTCAAGTCACCATTATGCTGGTCAGCGTTTGCTTTAGTTGAGCTCTTGACCCTTTTATTTTATATTGTTAGATTTTCTCTGTCTATTCCAACATTGTGATTATAAAGCACAATTATTACTGCAAGAGAAAACCTGCTCACAGTATGTTTTGATGATGACATTATCATCATGTAGAGACCTGATTCACATTCAGAGTCTAAATATTTGACTATATGCCTGATGTCTAATTTTAGCATTGGTGATTGTAGCCCTGAGATTCTACAGTTTGAGATCCAACAACATGAACAATTATGATAATACTTTTTGCACAGAAGCTATTGTGTTTGGACACACAGACATCAAGGATCAGCATATGAATCTCAACAATGGTGACAATAAACAAACTAGTGACAAACAGATCAAGTCTGAACATCACAAAACAAGCTACTAAAGTCATAACAAAACAATAGCAAAATAAAAGCAAATAGGAAAAAACAATGAAAATTACAGGACAATTCAGCTGCATAATTTATTCACGCTGTAATGCATGATGTGAGTCATGGATGTGTTTTGATTGGTGGCTCCCATCATATACTGCAACATAAAGCATTTGTGTGATTGTCACCATTGTTGAGATTCATATGTAGATTCTTGATGTCTGTGTGTGATTTTAAAACCTTCAGATTATTAAAACACTGCTGGAATTTGCAACTGTAATGAATATGAATACATTTGTATAATCAGTTTATAATGCTTCTTCAATGTATCAGGCCACTACATGAATGAAGGATTTGATATAATCTAAACATAACTATCTTGACCTGGGCTGCTTTTCCCAAAAGCATCTTAAACCTTACTTGATCGCAGAACAATTGCAACAAATGGTCTGTACGATCAACTTAGGCTTACGATGCTTTTGGGAAACGCAGCCCAGATCATAGTTTCTCTTGCCACAACAAATGTGCTTCATGAACACAGAGTTGGAACGGCCAGATAAATACTTATATTAAAAAGTAAAGGGTCAAGAGCCCAACTAAAGCAAACAACGATCACCATAATGGTAACATGAAACGAAACATTTCATAAAACATCACCATCTAAACTTCTGTGAATCTAAATAAGACTGTCTGTAGATGTATGACAGAAATAACGTCAAACTGGTGTACAAATTAATAAGTGCAATAATGTGTAATGGCTCAGAGTCAGTAGTTCTTGTGTTTCTCTTTTTTCTGTTCTTGTTGTATCTTTTTCCTTCAATGATTCTTCTTATTAACATTAGGTGTCACCACTAATGGCCAATCATCACTTAATTATCTCAATAACTTCAACACTGCTTCAGTGTTAATTTTTAACACCCTGTAGTTGGACCTATACACTCACCGGCCACTTTATTAGGTACCCCATGCTAGTAACGGGTTGGACCCCCTTTTGCCCTCAGAACTGCCTCAATTCTTCGTGGCATAGATTCAACAAGGTGCTGGAAGCATTCCTCAGGGAGTTTGGTCCATATTGACATGATGGCATCACACAGTTGCCGCAGATTTGTCGGCTGCACATCCATGATGCGAATCTCCCGTTCCACCACATCCCAAAGATGCTCTATTGGGTTGAGATCTGGTGACTGTGGAGGCCATTTTAGTACAGTGAACTCATTGTCATGTTCAAGAAACCAATTTGAAATGATTAGAGCTTTGTGACATGGTGGAAGTAGCCATCAGAGGATGGGTACATGGTGGCCATAAAGGGATGGACATGGTCAGAAACAATGCTCAGGTAGGCCGTGGCATTTAAACGATGCCCAATTGGCACTAAGGGGCCTAAAGTGTGCCAGGAAAACATCCCCCACATCATTACACCACCACCACCAGCCTGCACAGTGGTAACAAGGCATGATGGTTCCATGTTCTCATTCTGTTTACGCCAAATTCTGACTCTAACATCTGAATGTCTCAACAGAAATCGAGACTCATCAGACCAGGCAACATTTTTCCAGTCTTCAACTGTTCAATTTTGGTGAGCTCTTGCAAATTGTAGCCTCTTTTTCCTATTTGTAGTGGAGATGAGTGGTACCCGGTGGAGTCTTCTGCTGTTGTAGCCCATCCGCCTCAAGGTTGTGCGTGTTGTGGCTTCACAAATGCTTTGCTGCATACCTCGGTTGTAACGAGTGGTTATTTCAGTCACTGTTGCCCTTCTATCAGCTCGAACCAGTCTGGCCATTCTCCTCTGACCTCTGGCATCAACAAGGCATTTCCGCCCACAGAACTGCCGCTCACTGGATGTTTTTTCTTTTTCGGACCATTCTCTGTAAACCCTAGAGATGGTTGTGCGTGAAAATCCCAGTAGATTAGCAGTTTCTGAAATACTCAGACCAGCCCTTCTGGCACCAACAATCATGCCACGTTCAAAGTCACTCAAATCAACTTTCTTCCCCATACTGATGCTCGGTTTGAACTGCAGGAGATTGTCTTGACCATGTCTACATGCCTAAATGCACTGAGTTGCCGCCATGTGATTGGCTGCTTAGAAATTAAGTGTTAATGAGCAGTTGGACAGGTGTACCTAATAAAGTGGCCGGTGAGTGTATGTACACCAGGAGTGTTCATTTTAACACTGGGGATTTTGCTGTGTAGTAAAGTAACGCAATACTTTTTCAAATTTACAATACAACTTTTTCAAATTAGTATTGCTAAAGCTGCTTTGTTTTCCCATTTCTTGTTCTGTTCAATTTTATGTTATCAGAAAAGTATAAGTAGTATTATATACAAGACTCTTGTTGTATGTTTATAGGTATTTCAAATGTAGAATTGTTGTAATGACAGTACAAATAAAAAAACAAAGTGATCTTTATAGTCTTGATTATGATAAATTAATGAAAAACTGTTAAATTCAGTAATTAAAAGCATTCAGTTTAATCTGTGTCTATTATAGTTCATTTCATCAGAAGAGATCAGAGCCAGAGCCCAGCTGTGTCTCTATGATGGGTGACGGGTCTATGAATCAGCTATTAGGTTATAGGAGTGGAGATACACAGACTGATCTCAGGTAAAACCTTCCTGTAAAATATATAATTTAATTATGGTACAGTATAAAGATATGTTGTGTTTAGTTACTCATGTAATAATGTGGTATTTTAATTTAAATTTTACAGCCATGAAGTCCTCACAATTTTTAGGTCAAATCTGATGAAGAAGTTTGAGCGTCTGTATGAGGGAACAGAAAAGCAGGGAAACCCTACACTCCTGAATAAGATTTACACAGATCTCTACATCACAGAGAGTGAGAGTGGAGCGATCAGTAATGAACATGAGGTGAGACAGATCGAGACACAATCCAGAAGACCAGTAAAAAAGGACACACCAATCAAATGCAATGACATCTTTAGACCTTTACCTGGACAAGACAAACCCATCACAACTGTGCTGACGAAGGGAGTCGCTGGCATTGGAAAAACAGTCTCTGTGCAGAAGTTCATCCTGGACTGGGCTGAAGAGAAAGAGAACCAGGACGTCCAGCTCATGTTTCCACTTCCTTTCAGAGAGATCAATCTGATGAAGGACAAAACACTCAGTCTTTTAGATCTTCTTCATGTCTTATTCCCTGAAACAAAAGATATAGAAATATCCAGTGATAAATATAAAGTGTTGTTCATCTTAGATGGTCTGGACGAGTGTCGTCTGTCTCTGGATTTTCAGAGCAATGTGAGGTTGTGTGATGTAAGTGAATCAGCCTCAGTGGACGTGCTGCTGATGAACCTCATTGTGGGGAATCTGCTTCCCTCTGCTCTCATCTGGATCACCTCCAGACCAGCAGCAGCGGATCTCGTCCCCTCTGAGTGTGTCCATCGAGTGACAGAGGTACGAGGATTCAATGATCCACAGAAGGATGAATACTTCAGGAAGAGAATCAGTGATCAGAATCTGGCCAATACAATCATCACACACCTGAAGTCCTCAAGAAACCTCTACATCATATGCCACATCCCAGTGTTCTGCTGGATCTCAGCCACTGTATTAGAGAAGATGTTGAGCGAAGCAGAAAGTGGAGAGATTCCCAAGACTCTCACTCAGATGTACACACACTTCCTAATCCTTCAGACCAACATCACACATGAGAAGGACTATGAGAAGAATGCGACAGATAGAGACACAATCCTCAAACTGGGAAAAGTGGCTTTTCAGCAGCTTGTGAAAGGCAATGTGATCTTCTATGAGGAAGACCTGAGAGAGTGTGGCCTTGATGTGACAGAAGCATCAGTGTACTCAGGATTGTGCTCTCAGATCTTCAGAGACGAGTCTGGCTTGGATCAGGGGAAAGTCTTTTGCTTTATTCATCTGAGTATTCAGGAACATCTAGCAGCTCTATATGTGCACCTCTGCTTCACAAACAACAACATCAATGTGTTTGACACAATCATTCAACAGAGCTTGTGGTCCAAAGTTAATGACTGGTTTCAGTGCATGTTTAAACATGTTTCATTATCTGAGCTGCATCAGAGAGCTGTGAACGAGGCTCTACAGAGTAAAAATGGACATCTGGACATTTTCTTGCGGTTTCTTCTGGGTCTGTCATTGGAGTCTCATCAGGTTCTTCTGCAAGGACTAATGAAACAGACAAGCAGATCTGATAGCAAAACTGACAAGAAGAAAACGGTTAACTACATCAAGAAGAAGATCAGGACCATTGACTCTCCAGAGAAATCCATCAATCTGTTCCACTGTCTGAATGAACTGGGTGATCGGTCACTAGTGGAGGAAATACAGTATCTAGTAAGTATATAAGTATTTGTATCTGATACAGATACAAATAAGTATCTGCAATCTGGAAGAATAAAGGATGCCAAACTCTGTTCATCTCAGTGGTCAGCTTTAGTTTTTGTGTTGTTGACATCAGAGAACATGCTGGATGAGTTTGATATTAATGAATTTGTTGTAGAAAAAAGGCAACGAAAAACTGCAAGTTTTTGAGAAGCTGCTGCCTGCGATTAAAGAATCAAGATCAGTTCAGTAAGTATTGTTGTGGCAAATTCAAAGTCTTCAAATCGGGTCTTAAAGAAATCTTTCAAGAATCGTAGTTTCAGGTTTCAGAAGAAGTAACTTTATTGACAAGCAACAAAGTGAGATGCAGCTGTTCATCTGACTTGCAATGGTGGAACACCAGGTCTAAAACATTTTCTTATCACTAGGTAGCCAATCAGCTATCAAGCTCAGGTCACCTGATTCCCTGCACCTGCAGTGTTCTAGTGCCATCCATCATTTTTAATTAACGTTTTAGTATAATCTTATCTACCTATACACATCTTCTCTCTGAGCTTGTTAGGAACTTTTCCATCCTCACAGACCCTTTTGACCTAAAAACCTGATTTAACCTGGTTTCTGACTGAGACACAGCAATACAGACTTTTACGTGAGGCAAAGGAAAACCTCCAACACATCCCCCCCTTTGGTACATATTCTAGTCCCACCTTCATGTTTGTCCCAGAATGTATCTTCATGCGCAAGCCTCCTTCTGTTATCTATCAATCATGGCCAAAGATAGACCATCCGTCTTTCTTATCAATAGGCTTTTGTCACAAAGGTACACTCTGGGGGAATAGTGAGACCAAACATCTCCACCCCTCTGACTAGAGTGGAGTAAAAGATTCTTTAGGGAGATGTAGGCATCTGTTATCCAGTTTTTATCAACATTTCTTAGTGTACAGATTTGAGGGTAGAGTTGTCCCACGAAGCCAGAGGAACTGCACAGGCGTGTCCGGTGGCCTGGAGTGCTATCTGGGGTTGGAGCAGACAGCGGGTTTTTAAACCACCAGTTGAGTCTGCCCTACACTGTAAAAAATTATTTTTTGGTGAAGTAAATACTACTGAAAAAACAACAATGTAATTTACATGAAAAAGTTAGTTCAGGCAAGAATAAAAAAAAACTAAGTAAATTCCATATCAGTACTTAATTTTATTGAGTTGATATTTACACTTTCATTTCTACTCGCTTGAATTAAGTAAAAATTACTCAACTTTTCTGATACTGGGGTTCCCATCATGCACTGGACCTTGAATAATTAATGAGGTTCATTTTTCACTGGTTTCCAGCTGTATTTACACTGTTTTATAATTGATTTTTGTTGTCAGTATTAGTAACTTGCCATTTTGTGACATTTCAAGTAAATTTTTTGCTCAAAATGACACATTCAAACACAAAAACGACCCATCAAATGTTACCGCCATTGTGTTGAGGTCTTTGCATTCACATGATTCTTGACATCTGATATGATGCAATATAAATTACTTAGATGATCTAAGTAAAGCACATATTAAAAATGACTAATAAAATTCAATATTTTTGTTTTAGTAAAAATGTAATGCAAAGGAAATTTCAACTAAATCGGTATTAATCAACCTTTTACTAGCCAAGTTAAAATTACTTATTTTCTTTGTTACTTTCACTTAACTAGGTTAAGTAAAGTTTACTTAATTCCATATTCCAAGTAAATTTAACTTAAAGATTTCTAATTAAAGCTACTGATAAATATGTTTAGGTTTTTACTTGGCAAATCTTTGTAAATTTACTAGCATTTTCTGAGTATAAAAAGTTGCCTAGCTTTTTTTCAAGTAAATCCTAGTCCAATTTTTTTTCAGTGTAGCTGGTCCAGCAATGGGTGACCGCGCTTATAATTAATTTATCTTTTGCCCCGTGAAAACGAGTTTGAAAGTTTTCTATTTTATCAAATAACTCTGGTATAGCGAGTACAGTGATTAAAAAGTAATAAAAACATTCTTATCTTTCCATTTATATCTGGTTGCATTACCTCATACCATGGGCAATGACCTGCTTCAAACCTTGTATCGTCCCCTCTCATTCACATATTCATATTTTGTGAACAGTGTGATTATATAAAATATACTCAGTAGGATTATATGTAGGATTATATGTTAGAATATATGTAGGAATATATGTAAGAATATACTCTGGAAGGAGCCCTTGTATCAAATAAAAAAACAAAAATAACCCCTCTAACTAACTCCCTAAATAACTTAAAAGATTCAAACGTGAAGTTGTTCTCTACACTGAAGGATGATCCAAATTATAAACTGGAGAAATTGTGAGTATAATTTTATCTGAAGTGTTTAAATTGACCCAAGTTCAGTAACAGACCTCATATATGTGTAACATGCGAATACCATAATATCATAATTTAGTTGCACTTTAAGTCTCTGTAATTTAGCAGTAATGTATCATAAAATCAGGGTATCATCCTGATCATTTGTTTTTTAATTTAATATTGAAATCAGACAAATTTCAGAACAAAAAACACATGAAACACAAGATATAGACGGAAGAAAGGAAGGAAGATGCCCTTATTCTAATAATCATGTAACTGTCCGTGTGTTTTTTTGCAGGACTCTCAGTATTTAGACGTCAGTCCAGTTTCCTCAGGATCAGCTGATGGTGAAAAAGGAGCCGCTAAAGAGACTGAAGACACGGACATACACCGAGATCACACTGACGTGTGTGTGACTTCACACCAGTTTCTTGTTTTTTAATTTCAATTTTAAATTTGCTAGATATTGATTACAATGTAGATGGATGCAATGCATATGAGTAGCCTAAAACACTATGCAATGAGTAGCCCACTATGCAATGCATATGAGTAGCCTAAAACAAAGTGACAAAACTAAAACCCTCCCCTTTTAATCAACAGAAATGCAGATACAGCTTTGTGTGTTATGACTGGAGATTGTAATTAATTGATCAATATAACATCTTCAATATAATCTTAGGGAAATATTGTACAAGTTTACTTTGAAAAACAGATTTGCGTTTTCCGATATGTTAATGCAGCACAATATTCATAAATATTATACAGATACAATTCACTGAACATTTTTTGTACAATTCTTTCATATGTAAACATTTGTATATGATGATCTTAAATGTTCACATTTTTTCTTGTTTTTCCTCCTGCATCTGAACAGTTAATTACTAATTGCAAAGTTGAATCATTTTTCCAAAGACAAAACACAAATCAGGGATGAGTGTCAATCCTGCTTAATTCCACAATTTATTAAGCCCACATAAGGAAAGTTACAAGAGAACATCAGGAGGACTGAAATGACTTTTTACTGAAATAGTGTAGTAGATTTTTTATTTTATTTTTAACCTATGGCCATGAAAAGATACAGTGTCATGTAAAAGGTGTTAAAAGCTAAACTATTTGTTATTATTCTATTGTTATTATTCTATTGTATTATTCTATTGTGGCCAAAAGTTTAATAGAAAAGTAATGTATTACTTTATGTATTAAAGTTCAATAACATGCTTGCAAGGTTGTGAATGCATTTATCAAGTATTGTTTGTTGATGCTGATGTATGCTTTACTTAATGTGTAGTTATTTCAGGCCGTGGATCGTGTTGAGGTGTTTGTGCATGTGTGTTTTGTGCACGAGCATTGTGTTGCTGGCTGCAGTTCACTTAACAGCCCCCTGATGTCGCTAACAACTGCTTTATGAATTATACATTACAGCCCACTTAAAGGAGTAGTTCACTTTAAAAAAAACTTTTGCTGATAATTTACTCACCCCCATGTCATCCAAGATGTCCATGTCTTTCTTTCTTCAGTCGAAAAGAAATTAAGGTTTTTGATGAAAACATTCCAGGACTTTTCTCCATTTAATGGACTTCAATGGGCACCAAACGGTTCAAGGTCCAAATGACAGTTTCAGTGCAGCTTCAAAGGGCTTTAAACGACACCAGACGATGAATAAGGGTCTTATAAAGCGAAACGATCGGTCATTTCAAAAATAAATTAAAAAGATTAAGTTTTATAAGCACAAATGCTCGCCTTGCTCCGTTCTGTGATGGACGTTCGTGACTCTCCTGTTCAAACTCGTTCATCAAAATTAACAAATCTTTTTTCGAGTCATTTCATTCATTCAACGAACAAAATGACTCGAAAAAAGATAAGCTCATTTTGATTTGTTCCTGTAAAGTCAATTATAAGGAGAAAAATCCTGTAATGTTTTCATCAAAAACCTTAATTTCTTTTCGACTGAAGAAAGAAAGACATGGACATCTTGGATGACATAGGGGTGAGTAAATTATCAGCAAAAGGTTTTTTAAAAGTGAACTAATCCTTTAAATTCCAGAAATCCAAACAAATAATGAGACAGGGAAAAGATGGTAAAAATTGAAGCTGTAATTCAGGTTCATTCATCATACAGTGGACAATCAAGTTACACACGGTGCATTGTGGGATACAGCACCCAGCACAACGTGCTCAGTCGCTGTATCCTGCAGATTTTGGCAAAAGTAGTAGGTAATGTGGGTATACATACTGAAATAAATCACATACTGTGCACAATACGCAGACTATTCACGGTTCTGATGAATGTCAGTCAACATGTTTCAGTGTATCTGTGCTAGTTACTCGGTACAACAGAAAACATCCCATAATAAATACAACAAAAATCACCATACAAAAAGAGTACAAAACATTTACACCACAATACTTCATTAGAAAACAAATCAGTACTTGATTACAAGTCACAATCGTGAGGTGCTCAGCGTAACATCACATTAAACTGATACTGTGGAGACTCTGAGATGTGGCGCAAAAACACACAAACACACTTACGATCACCACAGATACCATCGATCCGTCGACCCAGCCTCACGCTGGGTCACGCTGGAGACTAGCTTATGACATGAGTGTTTTCTGAAGACCGTCCAGTGCTCGGGTCAGGCCTTCTCCGTTCCTTACGGAAGCGTTCGCTCTGAGAGCCTGAAGCCTTCGGTCCCGGGCCGGTTCTGCTGCCGGTGTGGTACCGTTGCTCTCAGTCCACGGGGAACTCGGTCTCCAGGGCCGTCCCGGGACGGGTGTGTGTGTGTGTGTCCTTCAGGAGCCGCAGGGACACACAGCTGAGCCAGCTTCGGCTGGTGGGCATCTCTCCCACGAGCTCCCAGCTGTCCGAGTCCTCGCAGTACCGCTCGATAGTGTCGTGATACCTATGTGTGTGTGTGTGTGTGTGTGTGGGGAGGGAAGTCAGAAGAGCTGTCAAAATGGCAAAAATTTCTTATTTCTTTATTAAATATTAGCAAAATTTGAATTTAACTTGATTTCTAAAGGCAATATTTAACGTTACAGGGAAAAAGGACTGTGTTGTCTCCTATGTCCACAAGAGGGCGCAACAGGCAAATATAAACCAAATCAAAGTAACATCGCATCCTTTATTGAAATGAAATGACATTCACTTTTTAAAGTGCATTCGTTTTTGAAACAATTGTTCTTAAAGTTATATAAAATATATGTCCTGTAATTTCCTTAAAAAATGTGCATGCAAGGAAAAATAAGGTTACAATAGTGCATAAAACTGTGTATGTGTACGTTACTACCCGAACAAAAGATTGCAAACTGCCATTCAGAAACAATCCACTTCCACTCACTGCACATCTACATATGGTTCGTCTAAAACGCCAGACGGTCCACTTGATCTGCAGCGAGGTTTTGTCAGCTGGAAGCATTTTTTCACCATTTTTTTTCTTTAAAGGTGCAATGTGCAATAATTTTGAGTATCTATTAACAGAAATGCAATATGACATCCATAACTATGTTTTCAGTGGTGTATAAAGAACTTACTTAATAAACCGTAATGTTTTTATTACCTTAGAATGAGGCATTTATATCTACATAACCGCGGGCACCCCCTTCTATGAAGGTCGACATGTTGTGACGTCTACCGTAGCCGAACGCGAACACACAGCGCTACAGAGTGCACTTCGTCACTACCTTGAAAGAGAAGCCGCAGAAACCTAGAAGCCATAGACACTGTGAGTAGTGACTTTTCCCTTGTCGGTGGTGTAAAATATGTAGTTGGACTGTTTCATGTAACTTAGTTCTTCTCCCTCGCTGTGTTATGGCTTTGCTATGTGGGGATAAATGTGCTGGTTACGTTCGTGAGACAGCTGATTAGTACTCGTCATTGACCGTAAAACAGTATGTCACAGGAATCACCAACCTGTCGATCTTGGAAGCATTTTAAGTCGATCGCGAAGAATTTTCAAAATCAGAGAAAAAAGCCTATTGTGTGTAGTAAGTGGTGTCTAGGGGATGCGGAGGCGCGCGCTGTTACAATCATGTCATTTTTGCCTCGCGCACCTTTGGGCTCATATAATGCGGACGCGTCGAGTTTAAACAAGGCTTTACGCTTTAACCAGCTCAGCCACAGTAACAGCTCATATTAGCCAGCTAAACTTTTACTACCCTGTTAGAAAACATATATAGTTGCATAGTTTCATGTGGTTCTTCTCCCTCGCTGTATTATGGGTTTGCTATGTGGGGAGAAATGTGCTGGTTACGTTACAATTCACTGAACTTGGTTACGTGTGCTGGTTAGCTGATTACTATTATTATATTATATATTAAGACCCTTGATCCTCACCTGACTATGGCTTTGTAAACGTTATCCATGATGTGGTTTATAATGGACTGTGGTACAGAAACAGTGACAATGTTACACACTCTTGGCTTACTCTGGCTATTCTCTGCTGTCTCCAGACGACGATATGTTTGTCCCGTTTCAGCCACCGTAGCTTCTTCGAAAGGGAGGGGTGAGCAGTGGGCTGAGCCCTTAGTGAAAACTCGCAACCGAACCGCCAGATGTCGCTAAAAATCACACACTGCACCTTTAAATTGCCAACGCAGCCGCACCGCGCTGTACTGGATAGGCTAATCCGCCTGTCGCTTTCTAGTGGTCCTGAAGCCTTGACTGGCTTGTTCAGGTGTGTGTGATCAGGGAAAGTGGACTTCGAGGGCCAGATTTAAGAACCCCAACTATAGTCACATTTTCTTCGGCAAATATTCTTACGAGCAAAATCCAGTCATTTCAATAGGAATCACCGCGGATGGGAATTTCACAAGAGGGCGAATCATTTCCCCATTTAAATTAAATTAAATTCTTTAATAAAGCCTGTATTTTTGTTTTGTTTTTATGTGCACAAAAAGTATTCTCATCGCTTCATAACATTATGGTTGAACCACTGGAGTCACATGGACTATTTTAACGATGTCTTTACTACCTTTCTGGGCCTTGAAAGTTGTGATTACATTGCAGTCTATGGAGGGTCAAGAAAGCTCTCGGATTTCATCACAAATATCTTAATTTGTGTTACGAAGATGAACAAAGGTTCATATCAGGGTGAGTAAATAATAATTTAATTTTTTGGCTGAACTATCCCTTTAAGTATCTGGACAACTGATCGGATCTCGGTTTGACACTCAATATTAATCAATTATTAATTCAATGTGCTGGGAAAGTTCAGGAATTTCACAGGACTCTAGAGTAGCATCATCCCTCACCTGTCCCATCCCTCCTCTCCTCCCAAAACGTAGATCTTGCCGTCCACCACGGCCACGCCGGGCCGGTAGCGCCGCTCCTTCATGGGCGCGCACATGGTCCACTGGTTGGTCTTGGGGTCGTAGCACTCGACCTTATCCGTGTTCTCGGTGGACGCGTGCCAGCCGCCTACAGGGGAACATCTGTCAGACACACTGCAACAATGCTTACTTACTCAGTGTCTTTGTCTTGTTCCCAGTCCAAATATCTAAAGATTATTAAATCAAGATGCATTTACTAGATGAGTGAAATGCCATGAGATATTATGTCCCGTTTTACGGGGGAATTAATCAAAATTAAGCGAGTTGGTGCTTAAAAACGGCAAAATTATCTGCCAATGGGGTAAAAAAGAAAATAAACGTAATTCAAACAGAAATGAGATTATTTTTCTCACCCCATTGGCTGATAATTTAGCTTGTTTTACGCAAAAACTCGCTTCATTTTGATTTATATCCCCAGAAAACAAGACTGAACATCTTATGTCACTTCCCTACTTTAGTAAATGCATCTTGATTTCAGAAATGTTTGCCGTCTGGACTGTGAGAAAGGCATGTTTTGCACTGTACAGGACGAGACTCGTGACACTGACGGATGACGGCTCAAGCTCTCCATATTCACCGATGACGTAGATCTTGCCCTTCAGGATACAGGCAGCCGATCCCGAGCGGGCGATCTGCATGGGCGCCACCTCGGCCCACACGCAGGTCTTAGGGTTGTACACCTGCGCCAAGTCTGTGCCATCGCCATCTTCTAAAACAGCTCCTCCTGTGTGATTTCACAAGGGAAACGTTATCAGTAGGGGCGTAACGATAGAAAGTAAACATCTTGGATGACGTGGGGATGAGTGAATTATCAGGGAATTTTTATTCAGAATTGAACTACTCCTTCAAACTCACATTTTTCACACACTTCTGAAACGGTTTGATCGGCAGTGATGCCTTTTAGACATTTATTGTCTATTTGTACATTATTTTCAGTCCATACAGTTGTGTTTTACTCAAATGTTCAGTGTGCGACAGTGCCTGGAGCGTGTGTCGGAGGAAACCTGCTACCTGTCACATAGAGCAACCCATCCAGCGCCACCACAGCCGGACTGGTGACCGCCATCTTCACCGACTCCATGAACTGCCATGTGTTTGTGTGAGGGTTATAACACTCGACCGAGTCCAGGCGAGAACGGCCCTCCCAGCCGCCCACAGCAAACACATACCCGTCCAGCATCACCAGCCCTGGGAGAACAACACGGGTTACCTCAGTTATCAAACAAGAGGGTCTATATATATATATATTGCTGTGTTCCATTGCAAGTTGGATGTGGGATATTTCTACTGGATTCCAACAACTTCAGATCATGAAAGCATTTAATTGCCTGCTATTTTTGGAAAATGGGAAAAAGAAGAAGGGCAATGCTTTGCAGGTGTAAACAAAAACACATCTAGCAATCAAAAACACTGAGAGTGGTTCTGGAAGGTGTGTGTTTATCCACACAGACGATCAGTTACTGTGGTCGCTGGAAGCATGAACCGCTTTTAACCCTCTCAAAATGGTCATTGTGGACTGAAAAATTATTATTATTATTTTTTTACTTCATCGGAATGGTACGAAACTTGGTAAAGGTTTTGGCACTTGCTATGTGAACACACAAAAAAATCATGAACATGGTTCAAAAAGGTTAAATAGTCCTGAAAAAAAAAGTCACTTGTGCTCCTCGCGGTCAAAAATGGCCGCATTGGAAATGAATGGGAGACGAATGTTATCTAGTGGAAACTCTTGGTACTGCGGCCAAACAAAATCTGACAGAAGCTCATTTTTTTAGATATCAAGCTCAAATTAGGAACAACTTGTTTAGATTTATGGCTTTGATTTTCTTGCCGTTTTAAAGTAAAACATGTTTTTGAAAATATAGATTTCATTTAAAAATTTAAAATAGTATTTTTGCACCTTTTCCATAACAATAAACGTAAAATTTTGTAACTTTTGTTCACTTCAGCAATAATTTCCCAAGTGTCGTCTTTAAAAAGAGATCAAACTTAAGGCTGTGCTCTAAAGCATTCAAGATTTACGACAGTTTAAGTTGGATATTTAAGGTCTATGCTCAAAACGTGAATAAATGGATTATAAATACAGCGTAAATATAAGTTAGTAGCATAAAATCCCCTAAACACACAAAATATTAAATAAAAAACATTATCAAACTAAAATATAGTACAATCCTCTCATTAAAAAAAAAATCCGGTCATTTTTGCCCACCACACGAAGAGCACCAGATTAAACATGTGACCCTGTGCCTCGTGTCGTTCCACTGCACGTTCATGACTGGAGCTGAAGGGAACGCAGCACGAGCTGCTCTGTTGCATAAGTCTGTGCAGATGTGGTGTGTGTGTTACCCAGTTCTGATCGAGCCACGTTCATGGGTGCCATCTCTAACCAGGAGTCAAAACACGGGTCATAGCGCCACATCTCGCGACTGGCCGAGCCGTCTGGAAACTCACCGCCGGCCAGGTACAGCATGGAGCCTGGACACACACACACACACACACACACACACACACACTAATTAACTGCCACCTGAGTTCAACAACTCATTTTCACTACACACAAAAAGTAGTTTTTTTGGTCAGTATGTTTTTTTTTTAAAGGAATTTTAAATTCAGCAATGATGCATTAAATTAATCCAACGTGAGTCTTAATACTTTTATAATACAACAAAAGATTATTATTCTAAATAAATTGCAGTTGTTTTTTTTTCTAGTTGTGCACCACACAGAAATATGAAGGAAGAGGAGCCTTCATGACTATAGGAGATTAGGTTTAGTTTTTAAAGAAAGTTGTACTTTTATTCCACAAGGATGCATTAAACTGATCAAAAGTGACAGTAAAAATACATATTTTTATTTAAAATAAATATGGTTCTTTTGAACTTCCTATTCATCAAATAAATAAAATCTATTCATCTTTAAATAAATGTATTACATTTATTTAATATATATATATATATATATATATATATATATATATATAAAGCAGCACAACTGTTTTAAACACTGATTTAAACACTAAAGCTTCACAATATTACTGTTTTTACTGTATTTTTGATAACATAAATGCAGCCTTGGTGAGCAGAAGAGACATTTTTTGAATGGTATTTGAAATCTCGTAAGTATTCGCTTACAAAAGTATTGTTTCCATATGCAGAAAGTCTAGTTAAAACTAGATAAACTAGTCACGATGTGTTTTCATATACAGTGCATCCGGAAAGCCTGTGAATACAGCATGTGATTTTTCTGTGTTTTATTTGTAATAAATTTGCAAAGATTTCAAACAAACTTCTTTCACGTTGTCATTATTGGGGGATTGTTTGAAGAATATTGAAGAAAATAATGAATTTAATCCATTTTGGAGTAAGGCTGTAACATAACAAAATGTGGGAAAAGTGAAGCGCTGTGAGTACTCTCCGGATGCACTGTAATGATCACAAGCTAAATATGTAATCATGTTCATTTATGAACCAATAGAACAAGTAAAAAGTTATATTTCAATGTATCTTTACATTTTAAATGTTAAAAATTGCAACAATGTTAGTTAGTTAACTTTATATCGGCAACACAATCATTACAAATACAAAGTGAATATGCCAATTAACGATTGACTCAGGAAGTTGAACAGCGATGTCACTTCCTTTCAAACACTCACCAGTATCTTTAGGCGACTCGCGATCCGATGGGATTCTGGGAGTCACGATCCGATTCCAAAACGATTCTTGATCTACTTTTGTTCTTATTAATTAATTAGTTTACCGATCTTTTTTTTTTTTTTTTTTTTTACATATTACATATTTAATTTAAAGTACTTTTAAAAATAATTGCACATAAATTTTTTTTTTTACTGAGAACGCCACTTATAGCCTATTCCTGGCTGTTTCTCCCTCATTTCTGCTCCGAGGTCTTGATTGTGGCATTTCTTTGAGGTTTAGAATCCAGTATTCCTGTAATTATTGTTTCTTTTATGAATTTAATAAAGAACTCTGTATCGTATTATGTCCAAACGGTCAGTGTACTTTTGTGTCCATTCGTTTTTCCTTATTTTACCCGTAATTGCAAAACGAAAAATGAACGGTTGTACTTTTAAAACGCAAAGTTGAACACCAACATTTTAATTTGAACTGTAGCCTACCTACACACCAAATGCTGCGCAAAAAAAAAATATATAGACGTATTTTTTTATTTTTGTTTATGACGTGTTTCCATTGAGCGTATTTTCAATTCGCAGTTTCAATTTGCGCAATTTGAAGGGTAAATGGAAACGCAGCTAATGAAGCCCGCAAATGTCCTTGGAATTCGCTTCAACCTCTCCAAAACTTTATGAAGATTATTTTACTGATGATTTGAGTTTTTTTGAGGGATTGGAAGCAAGCAGAATACGTTAAGTCAAGTCATCATCATTTATATAGCGCTATTAACAATGTAGATTGTTTCAAAGCAGCTTTACAGAGATAAACATATAATTTAAGGTAACAGAGATTGGTTTGGCTTTATAGCGGTTCTTGAATAATGTTATTTTCCAGCTAAAGTTGGTTTTGATTGATTCACTTCCGTCGAAATGATAATTTGTTATTAAATTAGGGGCCACTAAGATGACACCGTTCTCTCTACACAGACTTTAAACTGAACCTGTGATACACGCTGATGGCGTTCACATGCGCATTAATACGTGCGTTTCTAAAGCACAAACATCCTCATCGTCATCGCGCATGTTAAAAGCTCAAACTCACCGGAGACGACGAGGCCGTGTTTGCTGACGGCGAAGGGCAGGCAGGCCAGACTCTTCCACTGGCTGGTGAGCGGGTCGAAACTCTCCACGCTGCGCAGAACAACCTTATCGTCCTCTCCTCCTACTGTCACAATCACCTCAGCTGTGCCTGACACACACACACACACACACACACACACACACACACACACACACCAGCCACTGCATGAGTACGGTCATCCAGACATCATGCTTGTTCCAGATCAAAGCATCACAGGATTATCTTGGGACTTCTTTGGACATTGCATAATTCCCATACTTCCATGTGTGTTATTTCAGAGTGTCAATGACTTCACTACCATTGTAAAATGTGGAAAGTGGACTCCTATCAAACAAACTGCGTTCAGTAAACTTAGCTCAACAGATCCATCTAATAACAATGACAAGATATGGTTTTATTCCATAGTTACATCAAATAAGCACTGAGTAATATTAATTAACTTACGTGTTACGGTTAGGGTTTGGTTTAGGGTTAGTAACGTAATTAGTAAGTACATGTATCACCTAAAAATAAAATGTTAGCCAAAATATAGCTGCAAACCGCAATTATCAGGGCCAAGCACACCAATATTTGTAGATGATTTTAGGCAAAGTGTTAAAAAATAGGTGGTGCTGTCACCAAATTGATGTGTTGTGGTCAGTGTGAGGTGAGAATGACACATACAAAGTTTGGTGTCAATATGTGAAAGCGTTGCAGATATACAGCCTTAGATTCACTTTGGCATCATGCCATCAAATTCGCCAGTGTGTTAAATGAGAACTATTTGGTCCATAAAATCTCTTGATAACTTTTTGCCAGCATGGTCTGAAGATGATCTGAATCAAATTTGGAAAAGTCATGTAAACGGTTTACCAGGAGTTCGAAAAAGTAGGTTTTCAACTAAATTCAAACAGGTAAAATCATTTAAAAGCTATTAGTATGTTTTGAAATTTCATTATATTTTTGGACAACAAGGTAAGAGTCTTCAGGCCATGGTGCCGATGGCATATCCAGAATTTCATAACAATACGTTGATGCGTTTGTAAAATATAGCATTTTAAAATGTAAAATTGGGTATCGTTTAACTTGGTTTGCTCTGCCAAATCTAATGAGACCTGTCTCGTGATTTTTGGTCAAGCTGTTCAGAAGTTATAAGCAAAAACATATATTTTTCATTTCTCCTGACCACTAGGCTGCGCTGTGCCGAAACTGTGCATGTACACTCAGGTCATGCATGTGATGACACGTACCAAGTTTTGTCTTAATAAACCAAATTGTTGTGGAGATACAGCAGCGCAATCATTTTGGCGTGTTCTTCATTGATGCGCTATATGAAAACGGTTGGGTCTATCAAAACGTTTTTACAAACTTTGGTGGAAATCAGATATGAGTTTTTGCAATCAAATCATCTTGAGACAAGGAATCAGATAAAAAATTTGAATTTACGATAAAAAAATGATTAGCATAAACATTTGTGAAAATTCAGACAGTTGGTGGCGCTAGAGGGTTTGAGTTAGACACTCAAAAATTGTTGTGATTAAAGTCCCACTGAAGTGCCTTGGAAGGCTGAGCTTTGTTAGATGCGTTGACGTAATTTCCACTGAAAAAGGAAGTTAAGGTGGGACATATTGAATGGCTCCTCCCCCTTTTCAAACAGCCAATGGCGTTTAGTTTCCTCTCAGACTGCAGTCGTACTTGACGGCACCATGGAAGCGAATCCGAGCGCTGATGATACGCTGGATTCAATAGTAGAAGTGAATAAATTCTAGCCATTTCATTCTTAACCAACGTATAGCAAAATGGGCGGAGCTTCAGATTCTAGAGAGCATTTGATTGGACAGAAGATTGGCAGAGAAGCTGAAGTCTGCGGTGATGTCATAAAAATCTTTTTAGCGGAGGTGAGAGACTAAGTTTTGAATGCTTATATCGCCTAAATGCTAATTTTATCATTGTTTTGGAACACACACCAGCTTATTCATAAACTTAGGGCTAACATATTCATACTTAAAAGCTAAAAACCTTAAATTTTGATTTCAGGGGGCCTTTAATGACCAGTTTCTCCTCTATCTGTGTGCCAAATTTCATAAAACCGCTTTCCTGCAAGTGGGAGGAAGAGGAGGAAGAAGAAGGACGAAGAATTTGGTGCTTGGCCCCCAAAACTCCTAGCCTGGGAAAACCCAGACAACTTCTGGCAAATTTAGATTTGCTCTGAAAGTTAGTCTGGCAAAGAGCTCATTCAAGCCCATTTCCAATCCGCCGAAATCGAGGCACCAATCAGAAACGTTGGGGCGGGCTTTACACGATGACGACAGCGCTGGGATTTTGAAGCAGATTTTGTAGCCTACATTACAAAGATGGATGCCGCCGTCGAACATCACTCGTTCGAATCAGCTATCGCGTCTGTTTTAAGCCATTTGAACGTTTCCTTTTTGTTAAAAACCGAGCAAAGAACAACACTCGGAGATGTTTCTCCGCCGCTCTGCATACGTAATCTCCTTCATCGCTCTGATTGGGTTTAGGTCTATCCGCGACAGCCGTTGGTGACGCCCCTCTGGAAATGATTTGTCTATGATGCTTTGCCAGACCATAACTCAGTTACAACTGAGAATTGTCTGGTTTTAACCAGGCTATAAAACTCCTGAATCATAAAGGAATTGGCTGGGATGTAGCTGTGGAAACCAGTGTAATGGGTAGCGTGTGTAAGTGTGGTGATCCTGCACACAGAAGGTGTTGTCGCAGGACAGGTCTAGATGCTCATAGGCAGTGTGTGTTCACCTGTGGCGCGTCGGGGCCGAGCCCGGGGCCCGTACAGCTCTCCTCTGCGGTCCTGCAGCAGCAGATAGTCCTTGGCTTCAGAGATCAGCTTCTGGCACTTCAGCGACTCCTTCACGACATCCAGCGTCTCCACCACGTCATGGATGTAGTACGGACTGATGAGCGGCAGACGGATGTGCTCGAGAACCTGCGAAACACACTCACAGTCACACGAGTTCAGGGATTCGCAGAACGGTTTTCTCTCAATCAGTGTTTCAACTGCAAACATCATTAAAAGAAAACAGCTTGTAAACAATATTTCATGTTACATTTACTTCAGGAAAGCCATTAAAGGGGTCATGACATGAGAAATCAAATTTGCCTTGATCTTGTGACATATCATTATGTACCATTTAAACATACGGACTACTGTATCCCATAATGCAATGCGTTTGATCTCATTTACCATGTCCTGTGTGACAAATGAACCAGAAGCAACATCAGCTGTCATTTTGCCTCATCATTTCATTACACTACCATTATCATGCACAAAATCTGATTACAACGCATCAAACAAGCACGTCTGAACGTCCGTTTACCATTTCTGGTGTGCTCCATACACTGATCAATGACTATAAATTAATCAAATGTATAAGTTAAATCTGTTCATTATATATAGCGATCATGTCTCTTCAGAACACTAAGATTAAACCACTCAATTACTTTTACAATGTCTTTATGAACCTTTTGAAGTGTCTTGGTGGAATAAACTTTAACATCCATTTTAGACAGTGCTCTTCAAGTTTTTCTTTTGGGTGAATGAAATTTACTATATTTTAGTTTAATAATGTTTTTTTATTCAATATTTTGTCTTTTTAGGGATTATTTTTATACTTAATTCTATTTACGCTGTATTTATAATCCATTTATTCACTTTTTGAGCATAGACCTGAAAATTAAACTTCCACCTTAAACTGTCGTAAATCTTGAATGCTTTAGAGCACAGACTTCAGTTTGATCTCTATTCAAAGCGGCACTTGGCAGATTATTGCTGAAGTGAAAAAAGTTTTAAAAAGTGAACTTAAAAAAAGTAACAGAATTTTACGTTTATTGTTATGAAAAATGCATAAAAATACTATTTTCAATTTTGATGTATGGGCGATTCCACAGTTTCGGTCCACAAGGGGTGTGATGAACAATATATATTGAATAATACCCAGTTGTTGTCTTTTTTTATTTTTAGTTCACCATTTTGTTAAAGATAGATGTAAGAAATAATAAAGTTACTTTTATCCCACTAAGCCTTGGCATTATCGTGTAATGAGACTTTATTTTATTTCCGTCCCCAGAAATTGCGGATGTCAGGGTGGGACATTCAGTGCATCTGGATTTTTCCTAAGTCATTTCTTTCATTTCCTTTAATAAAATCCTGAATTTTGGCGCATAACATTTATTTTGGTGCGTCTTCTACAAAATCCTACTACTAACACTTAAAGTATAATTCCCTTAATCCACCACGATGCAATGGAAACATTTACTAACGTTCGTTACACTTTCTGTCCAAGCAGTTACGCACGTTAAAATATGATTCTAAAGGAAGCGGAGATATACATTTTCCATGTAATTCTATCATTAGCATAACGATAAAAACATCTTGTGTGGGTTAAATTCTCATATGCGCTGCTACATGATAAACTGTTAATAAATCGGGACGAAACAGGGGCCGAGATTTTCTGTCAAAAAATCATAACGCTCGAACATTTTATTCTGACGCTGAATTTCCATCTCCTAATGTTTCAACGGTTCTCCTGTCAGAAATAAGATTGCCTAGGTCACGGTCGCTCTGCGTGGGAGGAAGAGTTAAAAGGATTTCACGGATTTCGACGAATGTGGGTAAGTTTGTGGATTCTGTCCAAAAGTTTACGAACGTTAAAATGTTACGAACGTGGTAAACTTTTGTTAAGTAAACATTAAATAGGATCATTGTGGTGAGAAAGGATAAAAGAGTGTGCAAGTCGGATGATTGCGAGTGGTTTCGGACCGAAAGCGGCGTTCTCCGTGAAAGAGCACGCATGAATGGTGGTTTTATACATTTTGACAGATTCTGCACATCTTGTTCGTAAATTAGATGGAAATTTTCAGTCTGTCCAACTTCCAGCGTTGTTTTCGGCGTATTTTTGACTCAATAAGCTGTTCATGAAATTCAACATCGTCAATGACATTTTTCTGTTTTTGTTTTTTTTTGATAATTTTTTTTTCTCTCCAATGTTCGTAAGAATATAGCTTAGGCTGACGAAGTTAACACGTTAATAGTGCGTTAACACAATCTGTAGGATCTTTAAATTTGATAGTTTGATAACAGGTTATTTTAATGTGTTATGAACTTGTTCTATTCTTTGCCAGTTTTCATGATATTGAAATATTACTATACTGGTATTATTTTGTGTTACAGAGGCAATCTTGCAGGATTGTTTAATTTTTTCCGTCCACGTTACACACGTTATAACTTAGCACACTTGTAGGAGTTCCTTTGTCTTCAACATTTGGCAAATAAATTTGAAAAATATACCTGTGGTATTTGTTAGTCATTTTGCTGGCTATCAGTTAATGAACATACCAGACTCAAAATGCACCTTTAAGTTTATAGAACAGATAATATTAGATGGCCACCCTGCCGCAATGGATGTCCTATTAACAGTTTTGTGAACCATACACAACGCATGACTCATAACTATACCAAATTAGGAACAAAGCAAAACATGAAATGGGATTCAACCAGAATTTTATTAAACTGAATTAGATTAAGTACACTTTTTGCTTGAACTTACACTGTTTTTCCGTCCATGTTACATACGTTAAATTTGACATCAACTCAACTTTGATCAAAGTTTACTAGTTTACCATTGCCAGATTTATCCTGCCTTTCACACAGCTGTACCCCAGGTTTTCTCAGAATGTTAACCTGAGGAGAATGGCTTTCTCCATGAAGATTGATTTAGCAGGCTGTTGTCCTTGCAGTTAGACCTAAACTGTGGAATCGCCCGTATATATTTTAAAAATCACGTTTTACTCTAAAAAAAACTGCAAGAAAATTTAAACAAAGATTAAAAACTGCAAAACCATAAATCTAAACAAGGTGTGCTCCAAATTTGAGCCTGATATCTAAAAGAAAATGAGCTTCAGTCAGATGTTGTTTGGCTGCAGTACCAAACGTTTCCACTAGATAACATTAGTCTCCCAATTATTTCCAATGCGCTCATTTTTGTGTAACAATTTTTGTTAAGGACAATTTAACCTGTTCGAATAATTTCCACGATTTCTTTTTGTGTTCACATAGCAATTTTAACAAGTTTCGTACCATACTGACAAAGTAAAAAAAAAAAAATAGAAAAAAGTTTCAGTCAAAAATTACCGAAGACACAGAAATCTCTCAAGTTTTCATTAAAAACGTATTTTGTGGGCTTCCGGTGTAATGGCGTAGAGACTAGACGTGCTTGTTGATCGCTCTCCAATTTTGATAATCCTTTCCACCATATACTCGAGACTGGTTTATCCTTTTTGGTGATTAAACACGCAACAGGTGGATCGAGAAAGGAAGAAGACGGTAATTCAACGAAAATGTCGAAAACTCGGGATAAAAACGCTTCGTCGTCCAAGGCTAGCCACGCAGAGCAGCTAGCTATTGCTAACCCTGCTGCAGATGGTGTTACAGCGAACGTCTTGCTACAAGCTATCGAGTCTCTCAGAACCGAACTGGAACAGGACAACACCAGAGTGAGACAGGATATTACCTCTTTACAGCAGGAACTAAGCGGCAAACTTGACACGATGGCGGAGGACTTGAGAGGTCTGACAGACCGAGTGGAAGAAGCGGAGTCCCGGGTGGGGCGTGTTGAGGACGTTACTTTAGATTTGGCTGTGGCGCTGGCGGAGGGAATGAAGCGACAAAAGGTCCTTCAAGACAAATTGACCGATCTGGAGTCTAGATCCCGCAGAAATAACATCAGGATCTTTGGAGTTGACGAAGGAGAAAAGCCGGCGTCAATGGCGATTTTTGTTGCAGACTTACTCCAGCGACAGCTGGCATTACCAGCTGAATTGGACCTTAAAATACAGCGAGCCCATCGAGCCCTTTCCAGGCGACCCGGTGCCGCACCAAGACCTATCATAGTCAATTTCCAGGAATTCACTATTAACTCTCTGGGGTCGGCGGTCTCGCCGGCGATACCAGCTCACTTTTTTCCTTATCAGTGCAAAAGAGACTCAAATTACTTTGTTGATTTTGATCTTACATATAAGTGTTATACATCATTCGATCCTGTTAAGTTTGTATTTTTTTTGTGGAACCTCACAATAAAAACAAAGTGTTGTGCTTTTCGCCAAATAAAGAAAAATAAACATGATGCGCGTTCTGCGTTCTCTCTGTCAGTGCAGTCCATTCTGAAACGCGTCCTAAGATTAACTATAACTCTGCAAATACTTGTCATACAGGCACGAGAGATTTTTCTTTATGAAGCTTGAATTCTCTTCTTTTCAAAGAAGTAATTTATATAAAAAACAAATATTCTCAGTTTATGTAATCTGTATGAAAAGAGAGTGATTTCAGTATTTTTTCCCCAGCTCATTACACTTCATTACGCGTTAATGTGACACGCCCACGGAGGACGCGCGCTATTCAAACGCAAATGTCGAGGCAAGCCATGACAATGCCCACATCAGCCGTTCCACCGCGGCGGTAAAATGTGGGGTGTATTTTCTGCCTTTTACCGCTAAGAGGCGCTACAATCATAGACTCTGAAAAGTGTTCGTTTATTCTCTCTAATGCGTAATCTGCGGCTCATTCAGAGCGATTGAAAGCTGGTAGCAGATGAATTCAACAAGTGAAACGTAGTTAAAATAATTCATAATCACAATACTGAAATTAGGCTACTGAAATGAAATTGAATAAATAATGAAAACATAAAATATTGCAATAAAAACATTTAGGCTACATCAATGAGGCTTTACAAGAGCATAAGACATTAGTTTTACCAGCGTACAGACGATAGCTCAGTGATCAACGTAATAACATGAGCTTCAAGAAGCTTCAAGCGACCCGAGATCGAATCTCAATGTAGCATACATGTTGTTGGCCAACAGCGTTTATATTTGACCACCTTATGCTTAAATAGCTAACTGTTTACTTATTTAAAGTCAAGAGTTTTGTTT